GGCGGCCTACAGAGAGGAGAGAACCGCCTTCGGCAATGCCACGGCCAGGGGGCCCCTGGCCGGATTTATGAGGCTTACGCCTGACAGCCGGGCGCCGGCCAAGCTTGTGGTGGCTGTGGTTGTGGTGGTGGTGGTGGTTGTTGTGGTTGTCGTCGTCGTCGTTGTCGTCGGGCCCATGCTGAGCCATCTTGCGCCCAGCGTAGGCTTATGTCATGCCATGTCAAGCCATCATGAGCCCATCGTGGGCTTATGTTGTGCCAAGTCGGGCCATGTTGAGCCATCTTGGGCCCATGTTGGGCCCATGTTGGGCTATGTTGGGCCCATCTTGGGCCCAGCTTGGGTCTTTGTTGGGCCCACGTTGGCCCTATGTTGGGCCATCTTGGGCCTATGTTGGCCTATGTTGGCCGAGGTTGCGCCTATGTTGGGCCTATGTTGGCCTCTGTTGGGCCTAGGTTTGCCTATGTTGGTCCTATGTTGGGCCAGCTTGGAGGCTATGTTGGGCATAGCTGGAGGATAGGTGGGCGATCTTGGGCCTATGTTGGTCAGATGTTGGGCCGTTTATGTTGAAAACATCTTCAGAGACAACTTTTTACGATTTTTTCCGCCCCTCAAAGCAAAAACTATGGAAAAACCTACATTTTTTAACATCGCCAAGGTGCAATTCTGCGCCGCCGAGGGGCCCGAAACCCTGTAAAAAACGATGTTTTTTGCACACCACACGCAGAATACACTGTAAATTACAACGATAATCGTGGACCGGGGGTGAACACGAATCGACACGAGGTGGTCGGCGGCAGGGGCGGCGAGCGTATATAACCTTCGGTTACCACCGAAGGTATCCGGCGAGGACACGGGCGCGGGGCCGGCGCCCGGATTTATGAGGCTTACGCCTGACAGCCGGGCGCCGGCCAAAGCAGACCCGTGGAAGGTATGCGTTGGGTGTAATCCATGTCCATGTTCTGGGTCGCAATCGCGGCAGGGTAGTATGTCGTGGTTGTGGTTGTTGTGTTGGTGGTTGCTGTTGGTGTGGTGTTACTGACGCTTTGGGGGTTGTCTTAACCTCCCCCTGTGTAAGACGGGGGCCGGGACTTCGGGCGTCCCGGCAGCATCCTTCATCCGAAGGGGGCTGACAGCCCGGGTGGACGTGGCGTACACCGAAGTCGGGAGAGCCATCTTGCACATTGAGTTTGCGCAAGCGAGAGAAGCAAGCATCAACGCTGGCAACCTTTGTTGTAACCAGAGGTAGATGTGAACCAATTTCTTCATCAGGGCCCAGCTATTGCTTGTTGAGTCGCAACCCATCGCAGTGGTCTAGCATATAGTCGGTTCGCCGCAGACGGTTAGTTGTTTCAAGTGTTTTCACCGAGGCAACAACGTTGGATGAGTAGAAGTTAGCAAGTGGAGGGGTACAGAGTTACGAGAGGCAGTGATGGGTAGCCAACATGCTTGGTAACCATACATGGCATCATCCCCGTTTGCAACCTTATTTGTTATCAGTGTTTAGTGTGGTTAGAGATGATCAAATGCATTTGGAAACCACGGCCATGTCTGCGTCTGTCTGACGCGGACGTGGCGGGAGCGAGCGCAGAGCAGCGCTCAGCGCTGGCAGCGGCGGTGGTTTAGGGCTGCAGCTTGGTGAAGAAAGGCTCGGCGTGGCCGGTCGCTACAGTGCATCGTAGTCGAACACGACATCGAGGTAGGTGTCGTGCCGGCTGGAACGGCGGTGCTTGGGAGGGAGTAAATTAAGGGATCGGTTATTTGTTGCTGGTTTGTGGATAGCTTATGGATGGTAAAATTGGTGGCTTCTTCGTTGACAACCGATGCAGTCTTTTAGGTTCATAAGTCGTTACTGCAAGGAGTATTTTTTCCCAAGCTGCAGCTCTACATCAGGCTCACATCAGCCCGCGTTCATTCAACATCCAGCCATCCCCCTTTTTTTGTGGCTTTGGTTTCCCCGGTTTTTCGTGTGTGCTCGAGAACATCCCTGTAAGCAACCTGTGGTTCCAAGCTGTAGGTCGGCAGTGTTCTTTTTGCAGACGGTCGCAGTCAGACTGCTCGCGTTTTGGTGACAGGTGTTCGAAGGCGAGTCCGGCGTGTTTGCTGGCGGCCTGGCATGTTTGTGGTAAGCCAGCATGTTTGGAGCCCGCAATTGCTCGTTTCTCCGACATGTTTGCGATGAGTAACGGCTCGCTTAAGAGAGACTGGAGGGAACTGACTGCCAGAGTACAGAACTGACGCGACTGCAGCAGCACTGCATTAGGATGACTGTTGACAACTGATCGCGTGACTGCTGCAACATGGTGACAGGTGCTCTGGGGGCGACTCCGGCAAGTTTGCGGGTGGCCCGGCTAGTTTGTCGCAGCTCGCTTAAGAGAGACAGGAGGGAACTGACTGCAAGAGTACAGAACTGACGCGACTGCAACAGCACTGCGTTAGCATGACTGCTGAAAACTGACCGCGTGACTGCTGAAACATGGTGACAGGTGCTCTGGGGCGACTCCGGCAAGTTTGCGGGTGGCCTGGCTAGTTTGTCTCAGCTCGCTTAAGAGAGACCGGAGGAAACTGACTGCAAGAGTACTGAACGGATATATCTATATAGATATATATATATATACTTATATCTATATATATATATGAAAAAAACACACATATATATATATAGATATATATAGATATATATATATATATTTTTTTTCGCTTGGAACTGAAGTCAAGGCAGGGAGTTCCCGGCGGCGGGCGGCATGGCCGCACGCTGACCGGGGAAGCTGGCAGGACCCCCCTGGAGAGAAGCGCGACAAAAATCCGAAGAGCAGGGAGTTTCCGGCAGCGGGCGGCATAGCCGCACGCTGACCGGGGAAGCTGGCGGGGCCTCCCTGGAGAGAATCCAAAAAGTTTGAAGAGCAGGGAGTTCCCGGCGGTGGGCGGCATAGCCGCACGCTGTCCGGGGAAGCTGGCAGGGTCCCCCTGGAAGGAAGCAGACAAGCAAAGGTTTTTCCAAGCTACAACTCCACAGCAGCCTCACAGCAGCCGGGGTTCATTCTTCTACATCCAGCCACTCCCCTCTTTGTTTTGTGGCTGTCAACCTATGGTTCCAAGCTGTAGGTCGGCGTGTGGTTTTTTTTGGTCAGACGGTCGCGTTCAGACCTATTGCACTTTGGTGACAGGTCTTCGACGGCGAGGCCGGCATGTTTGCTGGCGGCTCGGCTTGTTTGTGGTGCGCCAGCATGTTTGGAGCCCGCAACGGCTCGTTTCTCAGACATGTTTGTGATGAGCAACGGCTTGCTCAAGAGAGACTGGAGGGAACTGACGGCCAGAGTACAGAACTGACGTGACTGCAACAGCACTGCAGTGTAGGGGTTTCGGAAACTGACCGCATGACTGCAGAAACATGGTGACAGGTGCTCCGGCGCAACTCCGGCAAGTTTGTCGGTGGCCTGCCTCGTTTGTTGTGCTCCAACACTTTTGGGGGCGCTTCAGCGCTCCAACACCCCCGGAGACGCCCCAACAGGGGTGACAAAATTGTCTTTGCCGCTACCCAACTGGCAGGTACTGAGCGAACTGAAAGGGCGATCCGCAGAAGGTCGCCGCGCCATGTTTGCGCTGTGCCTGCTGCAGTTGGTCGAGCGCGGGAAGTTGACTGAAAGCGGTGCCTCGGAACCGGTGGTTGAAGCAGTCATTGAAATGGCAGAAGCAAGGGTTGAAGTAGTGTGCGAAAAAAAACAAAGAAGGCTGGACACAGAACAGGGGACAGAGAACACAGCCACCTGCACATGAACAAGGGCACACAGTTCCTCCGCGACCGTTGCTACAGGGCTCGAGGCAAAGTGTAGAGCGAAACGAGAAGCACACGTACACAAACTCAACAAACTGAAGTAGCACGCGTAGGAGTAGTCTGTCTAAAACTGAAGCACGGAAGAAACATGCAAAGGCAATCACTGAGGTATTATCTGGGAAAAGCAGATGAGCATCGCAGAACGAAAGAGGGGGTTCAGCAGTTGCAGGAACGCTCGCGCAAGCAGCCTACCACTGACACAGTGAAACACTTCACCACAGACAAAGAATTCGCAAGGCAAGCTTTTCCCAAAGCGGAAAGCCATGACAGAGTGGTGTGCCGGAGCAAGTTTCACGCAGCGGCATCCAGTGCATGCTGCGCGTGGCAGAGAGTCGAGCAACGGCAAAGGCAAGCACACGCACTGGACTCGGAGGTTTCCGGGGAAATATACATACTTGACGTGGGGCATGGCTGTAATCTCAGCAAGCTTGTGTGCCAGCACAAAGCAGCTAGATTTCCTGTTTGCAGTAAATCTCTTCACCTGTGTCTTTGCATGCCAAGCGCAACATGCCCTAGCCAGTGCACGACTGCGCAGTGGGTGGGTCAGGAAAGCACGTCGGGTGGGCAAAGCTCGGGTGAAAGCAAGGCGGCAACCAGGATCGCCACGAAGTAGAATGCAAATGTTGATTGCAGCCATCTTCCTGTTCTCACCAGCCAGTTGGGTATGTGTGGAATGCGTTTGCCAGGGAAACATCGCAGCAGTGCAACCAGTCAGGAACGCATGGTCAACCTCTCGCAAACTTAGAAACCAGTTGATGCGTGCAATGCATGGCAACACGATGAAGAAAGCCAACAGACGACAAGCAGAAGGGTCCACACCCAGCCAATGCATAGACACGAGTGCCGGCAGCAATCACGTAGCTAGCAAGAAAGCTAGAGTTGCAGACGTAGTGGATGCCGCATCCTCGCTTCGAGCACAACCTAGCAAACCGAGTTTGCATAAAGAAGTGGAGGTGGATGAGGACCTGAAAATTGACGTCCGTGTGCAGACCCGAATAGGGTGTGAGCTAATCAAAATCCCTGGTGACGGTTGGTGTTTTTTCCATGCAGTACTTCGCCATTGTCGCGGTTGGCAGTCGTGGTCGGTATCCGAAGCTGCAAAGTTATACTTGCAAGCCTTAGAATGGATGTGCAACCAAAAGAATGGACCCAGAGCAGAGCAGATGAGGTTGCGATCGCCAGTGTGCCGTTTGATGACCGAGAAGCAGGCCTACACCTGGGGTTCCTTCAGCAAGCAAAGCAGTTGGAGGCGGCAGAAGGTTTGACAGCTGCCGAAATCGTGCTTTGGAGTAAAGTGGTTGCAGTTTCGGAAAAGCCACGCATGTTGGATTCCATTCACCATGGCTCAGTTGTAGAATTGTGGGCACTCACACAAGCCTTTGACTTTCACTGTCTCATTTGGAGCCAGGAGGACGATAAAAACATTTGGATTCATGACATGGCCTACATCACCGATTCGGAAACACAACTGAAATTGCAAGAACATTCCAATGTCTTAGAGCTTTTCCACCGAAACACTGGTATCACCGGGCACTATGACCTCGTCCAACGCGCGGAAGCATTGCGCGAACCATTCCCTGAAACACCATGGTTGGAAACTTGGAGAACAGAGAGTTCGGAAGCCGTGTTGTGTCTTGCTGCAGAAAGCCTTCGAAACCCAGTGGAAGTGTCACCCATGTCGCTGCATAGTCAGTCATCGCACGTTGAAGATCAGAGTGCAGTGTGCGAAAATCATGCCGCAGAGGAAGCAGAGCGGCCAACGGCAGGGTCATCCGGGCAACCGCAGCGGACCAGCCGCACCACTGCGGCAGAATCGGATGCAACAACGTGTCAGCCAAATCGGTCGCAGCAGGTGCATGACACAACTGAAGCCGGCAAAGAGGCAGCCACTGGTGTCTGGGAAGGGCATGACGACGCAGAGGAGTCGGAGGGTGCAGCCACCGATGTGGATTGTGACAGCGTGCTTTCATGGGATTCGAACTGGTCAGAGAGCTCAAACGAGGCGGATCTGCAAGTCACCGTGGATCCGACAAAGACATGGGTCACGGTCGAAGATCGCGACCAGGAACGCATTCGACAAATAGCAGTCCAACTGCGACAACATCCTCTTCTGCCTTCTCCAGCAGCGATGAGTCAATTTCCCGCCACGCAGCCAAACAGTGGTCTCGTGTACCCAGCTGTGCATTGCGCCTTTGAGGGATGCAGGTGGGCATCCGACAAACAACCGTGCCACCCGCACTGGTCCAAAGAAAAAGTGTGGCACATGAATGACACTACATGGGTACACACTACATTGAAGTGCTGCGGAAACGGGGTCGTGTGTTTGTGGGCACACCTCCATGAGTGCCATCCTGAACACTTCGCAGACATACCCCGTGAGCTTGTGGCGTCAACATACACGGCTGCATTGGTGGAAAAGGAACATGGATAGATCCCACAGGTTGGCTGGAGCGTCGATCGGCGCACGCTGCGTCGACTACAGGTCGAACTGGATGACAACAATTGCCAAGCATTGATTTGTGCCTGTTGCGCCCGAGTGACCCCGGGAGGCATGGGAGGGGAGATCGGCTACATATCTGTCAAACACTTGTTCGGTGCACTGACCCCAGAAGCAGCCAAGGCAAATTGGAGCCTAGAAAGTTACATGACGCAATATGGCACTGTGGCTTCTGTGCCAAATCGTCTCCAAGCAAGCGAGTGGACTCGAACCCTGCCAGACGCAATCTGCGAAGGCATGCCACTTTTATGCTGCCCGGAAGATTTTCGCTGCAAACATTGCGCCCAGGGTTCGCTGCAACTGTGTGAAGGTTGCGAACTGCCATTGTGTCGCAATTGCCTGGAAAACATGTGCAGACAGAACGCTTGTGCAGTGCCAGAAGCTCTGGCGAATGACAATTGGGTTGGGTACCCAACAAAGTTGCTGTACACCCACCAGGTGCGTTGGATAGAAGCAGCGGCCGCCTCTCCTGTCTGGACTTCCGTCATCAATTATTACCTGGAGGCCGACCGAGGGAATTTGATAGAAGAACACTTGCATCGGCCAGAACACAGGACTGCAATCCGAGGCAATGTTTCTTCCTTTAGCATTCCATGGGAAGAGGTGCTCGCTGCCTTGGCCCCCGATACGCAGCGGGCCACGACCTGGGAAAAGTTGCCTCACCCGCCACAAGTGCTCCAGGCTATTGTGAAAATCAATGTGAAAGGCATGTTATACAATGAGGCAATTGAGTGGGTAGCAGGGGCACGCATCCGACCGTGGGTCGTCATCGCACTCTTGCATCACCTCATCGACCTGCAACATCCAATGTGTAGCTCGCCCTTGTCGGCAGACGAGGCAAAAGCAGCAGTGACGCAACGCGTGACTGTCACCTATGGGGTGGAAGAAACAAGGCCGCTAGTCGACATGAAGCACATGCCTTCACCAGAGAAGATGAGCCAGAGCAGCGCTCAGGTAGCAGCCGAAGTCCCAGCCACACCGGCCGCGTCACAGAAGCAACAAGTTCCAGCAACAACACCTAGCCAAGGCAGATCTCAACCAGTGTCTGCCAAGCCAGAGCAGGATGCCTCGCCGGGCAACAATTATTCACCCCAGGTGACAAGCCAGAGCAGCGCTCAGGCAACCGAAGCGACGGCGTCGGCGAACAACATGGAGTCGACCGGCCAAAAGCTCAGGGATCCTACTTCAGCTCCGCTGAGCCCGTCCGGGAAAGTCCTCGTCGCCAGAGTGGAAGCAAGCCAACAACGACCGCAGAAACACGCCACACCTGAAACAGGTGCAGAGACAGCTTTGGATGGCCAAGCTTTCATAGGCAGTGTGCATCCAAACGTTTTGTCACAAGATTATACAGGTGCGGAATGGAAAGATCCTGACGTTGATATGTTGTTGCAATTGAGTAATGCAACTGACACGCTCACCATCCGAACCGGGCACAACTTCTGGGACCAATGGCAAAATGATTTCCTTCCATGGGCTTTCCCCTTCAGCATCCCAGCGCCCGTCAGTGGTCCCGACTTTCCGCACAAAGCGCGACCACGGAGGCCCGAAGAGGCACCGCACTTGCAGCCCTTGGCACATTTGAAACTGATGGCCGGACGCATTGAGAGTTCGATTCGCAATTCACGGGACCTCATTCCCGGGCTTAGAAGATTGACGTTCAAATGGCATTCGGTGTGGCAAGGCTCCCTTTGGCGGAAATGGAAGTCGCAAAGGCAAGCCATTGCACCGGTACCAACGCTCAAGTGGGTACAAGCGGCGCGCGGCCTCTACAACAAGCTCCGATCCGGCACATATATCACTCCAGGTGGAAAGCCGAAACCCATCCAGTTCGATACACGTAAATTGCCTTATGCACGAGGCCTCACAACAGACGAAAAAGAATTGCTCCAGGATGTGAAAGGCATGCAAGGCCATATGCCTGGAACGATTGAAGTCCGCCGTCGCATTGGGCGTTTCCTATTTGGGGCTAGGGTTGAGCTGGGAGAACCCCTCTTCATCACGATATCCCCTACAACCCGTCATAACAGTTTGTGCATCAAATTCAGCCGCTATCGTGCCGCAGATCCTGGCGGAGCTGAAGAAGGAGCACGCGATCGCCCCAAGCTATGGGAGACCGCAGAAGCGAACATCGAAGTGCCGCCTTACGACACCCGCAGACAGCTCACTGCGAGGGATCCGTGGGCGGTCGTTCTAAGCTTTCAAACAGTGGTGCGGTGCATCTTCGCCAAACTGCTCGGCATCCGCATGTGCTTTCGTTGCCCAGCATGCGATTGCCGCGATGCACGCGGACACGGGTGTCATGTGACGGGGGGCATCCTTGGCATTGTCACCGGCCTATGCGGAGCAATCGAATATCAAGCCAATTCCACACCGCATTTCCACTGCAACGTGTACATCGCTTCCATTTGGCAACAATCCTTAAGTGAACTTGCAGCCAAACTGAATGACAGCACCATCACATTCGAGGACGTGCAACAATTCTTGACATGGGCACACTCCGAATCCCATCCTGACCTAGCAAGCCATACGCAACAGCAAGACCACCTTGAAGCAGACTGGGCCCAGAACAACTGCAAATCAAGCCACGATTTTTTGTGTCAGTGGCCAGAATTCCTTGCCGAAGACAAAGCGGCCAGTCCATGGTTGAAAGGAGTGGAACCAAAGCAGGCATTGGCCGACGCAAGTCGTTTCATCCACCAATACCGTCTAGCAGCACAAAGCAAGATCAGCCATCAGCAGCTTCACTGGCATCCGTGGAACGTCGTGCAGAAGTGTCGGTTGCCTATAGCCGCTTGCAGAAAGAAGGGGGCGCCAAACAAGTGTAAGCACAATTTCCCAAAAGTTCAGAACGAAAAAGTTCGAGTGATTTGTAGAGGGAACGCACGAAAATTTGCCCAGAGCACTGCCGGGCGGCGGAATGCATTAGGCATGGTCTTAGACAAAAGAGACGATCCGTGGTTATCGGGCACCATGCACGCATTCACCCTCATGTTATTTGGTAATTCACACACTGCCGTAAATTTCCGAGTGCCTTTGTCTGCAAGCACCCACGACTCAGACTGCAACCGAGGCTGCTTGGCAAAGAACATGCTTCCAAAACTGCAACGGGCAATGGCACAAGCAGCCCGCCGGTCCACCAGATACTTCACCGGCTACTTACAGAAGCCGCAGCCGTTAGGCAAAAAGGAATTGCAACAAGCAGCCAAGCAATTGCATTTCCTGGAAGAAGCAGCTGCAAAAGATGACGCGGCAGCGCACTACCGTAAAGTTGTACATAGAGTCTTCGGGGATCTCGAATTTCGTTGCTCAGTACGCCCCGTCACAGAAGAATTCATGCTTGCGGGCTTCAGCAACATGACCGATCCCACCACCGCCGAGTGCATCCGGAGTTTTCCCGTTGTCCCGTTTGTAGGAATAGAGTGGGTTGGTATATTAGACCTTGTCACAGACATTCGTCATAAAGTGCAACCTCCCAACCCGCATAAAAGTACTTTGAAGTCCTCCGAAGTATACGGGTGGCGGGGAACCGACGCACGAGTGTTCCACTTGAGCCCGTGGGAGTTCATCAAATGGTGGAGTCTAAAAAAATTACAGCCGCCCACCAAAAATGCAACTGAAGACGGACAAGGGCTCAGTGTTTGGGTGAGTAAGCAAGGCACCGACAGGAAACCTGTGGATGGCTGGCAATATGGCCGTGATTACATTTGGAAACATCCATTGCCAAACAGCCGAGCCGCCAACCTTGTCCGGCTACCGCAGTGCAATGGATGCAGTCGAGTGCAGGAATACTATCTGGAAAGACGGACCGAACCGCTGATCCCATATCCGACGACATGTCCGTTGCCGAAGCCCGACATGTCAAAGGATGCACAGGCGAGGCTCCTCAATGTCTATCTGAGGCCCTGGACACTTGATCTGAAAAGTGCTACCCCGCATGTCCCGCATATCAGTGCCTTAGACTTAGAGATAAGAAGTACTAGTCTCAACCCCGGTAAACGCTTGTTCACCAAAACCGCACCGGGTCCAAGAAGTCACCACTTAGCATGGACAGCATATATCCAGCACCACGTTGTGTCTAAACATGCAGCTCGCACTATTCGAAACTTTCTCTCCGCAACGGAATGTGATCCAGAAGAAGTCGACCTGGCCGAAACACCTGCCAAGCCAACAGACCATGAAGTGGATACGACCTGGGTAACGTCTGACACCATCGATAAACTTGTCCGAGGTGTAGGCTTCGAATATTCGAAACGGTCAGGTCCAGCGGTACGCCGCATAGTTGAGGAATGGGAGTCGAACCCGCAGGTTGATACAATAAACACCTGGTTTGTAAACACTGGCATAACTGACGTAAAACTTGACCCTAGTCAAAGCAAAGCGCACCAACCGACACCGTTGCGGGAGAACGAACCACTGAGCTGGACCTACGGCAAGTTAACTCCAGAGTCCGCCACAGCATGGTTGCAGCGCCTCGCAGAGCAGGGCTCTGTGGCAGTCGATCCAGCCGCATGCAGTGCAGAGCCGCGCTCAGCAAGTGCAGAGCCGCGCTCAGCATGTAAACCCACAGCCGAACAACTGAAATTCCTGGGTGCTGTCGTCGACCGCTGCCTCACAGAGGCTCAAGAAGAACAGGCCGAAAGGTCCCGCAGTGAGCCTTTGCGTGCAGTGTTCCACGGGGTTCCAGGAGCTGGCAAAACCCAAACCCTCAAGTGGTTGCGTGCTTTTTTCGAAGATATGTGTGGGTGGCAGCATCAACAAGAGTTTGTATACTTAGCACCGCAGAACACCCAAGCTGCACTTATTGCTGGCATGACGCCACACTCGTTTGCCAATATCCAGGTGAAAACCAAAACGGCCCGAGCAAAAAACACTAGCACACCGGAACAGTTCGCTAAGTATCAACGACTACGGTGGCTGGTGGTGGATGAATCTTCAACTGTCGGGCTCGAAATCTTGGCCACGCTGGAGAAACGACTGCAGCAGTCGACCAGAGATCGGGATACGTGGAAACTTCGGCCAGGGGGAGAACTGCGGCCATTCGGAGGGCGCAACATCATCTTGACGGGGGACTTGTGGCAGTTCCCGCCAGTCAAAGCCACAGCCATCTACCAGAACCCTTTCCAGTCAAACACAACCTTCCAAGTCAACGCGCTGCAGCAAATATGTTGGTCGCACACCTCGCTCGCCATCCCACACCTGTTTGAACTCACCCTCGAACAGCGGTGCGAGGACGCCTGGCTCAGCCAAATTCTTCACCAGGCGAGGCATGGAAACATGTCGCAGGAAGTGTGGTCTTTCTTACATGGGTTTCCAACACTCCATGCGGGCTCGTGGTCCTTTCAAACCAATGAAGCCAGCTGCGGCCAAAAAACTTGCAACAACCTACATCTTCAACCCACCGCCCCCAACCAGTTGGAATGTGTAATTTGCCACCAAGAAAGGGCACGTCGATGCATCGTAGGCAAAGACCCAAAAGCCGAGCACTTCCTCAACCATCCGTTTGTGCATGGGCTGAATGCCGCCAAGTACATTGCAGCCAACCTTCGTGCCAAATGGGTAGCCACCACTCGCAAACACAAGTTGCTTTGGATCATTGCTCAAGATACCCCGCTTTTTCATGTGGAGGCGACGGAACTACAGGCCCGGCGTGAAAATTGGTTACAGCGCCATGACCAGTCCACCGGCGGTGTCGTAGGAATCTTACCACTTCTCCAGAACATGCCAATCCGAGTGACGCAAACTCTGTCTGACCTGAAAGCCTTCGGGCTCTTTAAAAACACCCGAGGCACCCTTTGGAATTGGACACTCCACGAGGCCGACCAAGAGGCCGTGGGAGCTGTAGCAGGCCAAGACATTGTATTACAACGCCTTCGGCGGGCGTTGTACGTCAAGGTCGAAGGTGCGAAGTGGCAACAGCGCCCAGACTTGCCCGTTGGAGTCGCTCGGATCGAACCCGTCACCCAGACGTGGACACTCGAAACCAACGGCAAAGCTACAGTCTCCCGACGCGGCTTTCCAATAGCATCCGATTACGCTGGCACAGCGCATTCCTTTATGGGGGCAACCCTGGGTGCATGCACATTGGACCTTGGCACGTGGGATGCCACGACCTCCCGCGAGGCACAGCTCAGCGGGTACATGTGTTTATCGAGGGTCCGAAAAACAGAAGATTTGTGTATAGTCCAACCTTTCTCCCCCAACTTGTTTAGTCACGGAGAGTTAATTGGACCCCACACATTCTTAGAAGTGCATCGCGAAAAGCTGACACTGGCACAGGCCAAAGTCCGATTTGAGAAAGACAAGCCGAACAAGCAAAGGAATCGTGACATCATGTTGTTTTGCCGCGGTTGCAGTCCACAACCGCATCTACAAGAGAAACTGTTGCCACTTCGCGAATTCGTTTCGGCCTGGGACCAAGAGGAATGGTACCGTGTACTGTCAGACGGCATGTGTCGCTTTTGCACCCAGTGTAAAACGAAGCAAAGCAGCCCTGCAGCCAAGGGGAAGCCCAAGGCAGTGAATGCCTGCGCATATTGCCAGACCTTGCCAGCCGACCAGACCGGCTACTGTTCGAAGTGTGCCAAAATTCGCTTAGCCTGCAGCAAGTGTGATATCGGGAAGAAAATCAAAACAAAAAGCCTGCTAGATTTTAGCCCGGAAGAAATCGCACGAAGGAAAAAAACCAAAGAACTCCGAAGAGCACGCTGCAAGAAGTGTGCTGTCGCCCCAGTGACAGCAAAGGCAAAACAGGGTTTGTGCAGCAATTGCAACAAAGCCATCAGTGTGTCCCACCTTGTGCACTACAGTGCAGACTCTCAAACCGGAGTTTCCCGTGCGTGCGTGGCAAAGCAAGCGCGGGCACCCAAGACTTGCGCAAGGTGTGCTCAACCCTTGCATGCAAATGCAAGTCCAGGGACTTGGTGCACTGCCTGTGCATTTCCCCCTTGCAGTGGAGGTTGTGGGCAGCCACGCCCCCAAAAAGCACCCAACCATGCCAAGCAGAAAGCCGATTGGTATTGTCAAAACTGCAAAGGAAAATGTGCCAACTGTGGCGGCCTCTTGCCACGCAACGCAGAGGCTGGCACCTGGTGTGCCACATGTGCATATCCACCGTGCAGTGGAGGTTGTGGCGAGCCCCGCCCACATGAAAGAAGATACCACGCCCAGCACAAGCCGCTTTGGTTCTGTCTAGCATGCAGTGTACGCAATGGTTACCCGCCGTGTCCAATGTGCGGTCTGCAACGCCCGCAAGAAAGTCGTTACCATGTCAAAGTCATGCCGCACTGGACCTGCGAAGCTTGCACGGTAAAGTCTTGTCCCAAGTGCGGGGAAGTTCTTGGTGCAAAAGCACCTGACGGGGCATTGTGTTTAGCTTGTGCATATCCACCATGTGAGAGCTGTGGGTCACAACGCCCGCAAGAGAGTCGGTACCATGTCAAAGTCATGCCGCACTGGACCTGCGAAGCCTGCACGGTAAAGTCTTGTGCCCAGTGCGGGGAAGTTCTTGGTTCAAAAGCGCAAACGGGTGCATTGTGTTTAGCGTGTGCATATCCACCATGTGAGAGCTGTGGGTCACAACGCCCGCAAGAGAGTCGGTACCGTGTCAACGTCATGCCGCAGTGGACCTGCGAAGCCTGCTCAGTCAAGTCTTGTCCCAAGTGCGGGCAAATCCTTGGTCCAAAAGCTCAAGATGGTGCATGGTGTTTAGCCTGCGCATATCCGCCCTGTGAGCGTTGTGGTCGCCCACGGCCAAGGACGCGCAGTGAATACCATGCGCAGGTCATGCCAATATGGACGTGCGAGGCGTGCAGCGGGAACAGCCATACTGGGGTCCCAAAGAAAAGGCTTCGCAGAGGTTAGTCGCCCATGCATCCGACGCAAGCCAACGGCATATGACATTTCTTCCATAGCCCAACATGAGACGAGCTAATCTTCCAAATGACAGAGATCAGCCATTTTGTCAGCCACTGCTTGCAGAATCCACGACCACCCCAAGCCAGTTAATAATCTTCCCTAGCATAGTCCCACGAAGAACTGGCAGAGAGGAACCATTTTTGCTGCCACCTTTTGCAGAAGCCACGACGAGCCTAAGCCAGTTCAGAACATTTCCTTGCCTAGGCCCGCAAAACCCCAAAGCAGCGATGAACCATTGGTTCACCCACCGGTTGCTGCCTCCACTACCATCCTAGAAGCCAGTACTGCCCACAACAGGCAATCCTGACCGACACAACCGACGACACAGGGGAACCAGTGTGTTAGCCCAGTTAATAAATGCTAAGAATCTCACCCAACCCCCGCCCGCGAATCCACGGGGCCGCACTGAGCGAGACGAACCATTTTTTCAGCCACCGGTTGCAGAATCCACTCCCATCCCAAGCCAGTGCAAAATCGTCCACATGACAGAGATCGACCATTTTGTCAGCCACCGATTGCAGAATCCACGACCACCCCAAGCCAGGTAATATTCTTCCCCGACATAGTCCCACGAAGCCACAGGGCAGAACTGACAGAGGGGAACCATTTTTGCTGCCACCGATTGCAGAATCCACGACAATCCCACGCCAGTTAAGAACCTTCCCTTGCATCGTCCTGCGAAGCCACAGGGCAGAGAGGAACCATTTTTTCAGCCACCGGTTGCTGCATCCACGACCATCCGAGAAGCCAGTACTGCCCACAACATGCAATCCTTACCGACGCAACCAACGACAAAGAGGAACCATTGTTTCAGCCCAGTGAATCATCTCCCCCCATACAGTCCCGCGAATCCACGGGGCCGAAAGGAGAGACAGGAACCATTTTTTCAGCCACCGGTTGCAGAATCCACGACCATCCCCAGCCAGTGTAAAATCTTCCAAATGACGGAGAGCAACCATTTTGTCAGCCACCGATTGCAGAATCCACTACCACCTCAAGCCAGTTCGCATGAGACGAGCAAATCTTTCCAAGTGACAGAGATTAACCATTGTGTCAGCCACTGCTTGCAGAATCCACGACCACCCCAAGCCAGTAAATAATCTTCCCCGACATAGCCCCACGAAGAACTGGCAAAGAGGAACCATTTTTGCTGCCACCTTTTACAGAATCCACGACAATCCCAAGCCCAGTGAATCATCTCCCCCCATACAGTCCCGCGAATGCACGGGGCCGAAATGAGACCCATGAACCATTTTTGCAGCCACCGGTTGCAGAATCCACTACCATCCCAAGCCAGTTTAAAATGACGGAGAGCAACCATTTTGTCAGCCACCGATTGCAGAATCCACTACCACCTCAAGCCAGTTCACATGAGAAGAAAACCATTTTTTTAGCCCAGGTAATACATGTTAATAATCTCACCCAACCCCGTCCCGCGAATCCACGGGGCCGAACGGAGAGAGACGCAGCCACCCAACTTAGCTTGGCCCCCGCTGCTGTCTCGCTTTCCCGTCCACTATTTTCGAGCGAGTGCCGGTGAACCATGACCCGACACCTAATCTCCGCAGCATTCGCACGCCTGTCACTTCCCAAAGAGCTATAGGTTTTGTTGAGTGCGTCCAAGAGAGTGCAGACAACCGGCTGCAACCGGGGCGTTGCCCGAGTGCTAGAGCGTTGCTCACGCCGCGGTTTGGTTTTGTCGCATCTGGACCTGGCCTGTGTAGAACTGCATTCAGAGCAAGTAAAGGTCTTGACCCATCAGCATATCATATCGTAGGACAGTCCGTTTTGCTAGTGTACTCCGAAAGCAATCGCAGACCTGTCATATCCCAAATAGCCATGCGGTTTCTTTGGGGCTTCAAAGCTTGTTCGGACAACCGATGAACGTGCGCGGCGTGCAGCGGGAACAGCCAGACTGGGGGCCCAAAGAAAAGGCTTCGCAGAGGTTAGTCGCCCATGCATCCGACGCAAGCCACAAGACAGCGGCCAGAGCAGCGCTCAGCGCACAGTGCAAAGCAGTGGCCAGAGCAGCGCTCAAGCCCGCACAGCGGCAACCATCACCTCACTGAGACGTTGTCCGTCGCAAGCAGAAAACAAAAGCGTTCAGTGCGTGGTCTCACAACCATGTCGAACTCAGCGCAAATGACCGCCACCGTGCGCACCTCACACCACGCCAGGTCTACCACGAGATCTAGCTGAGTCGGTGGGGGCCCGAACAACCCCTCCCTGTGCAAGACGGGGACCGGGACTTGGGGCATCCCGGTAGCATCCTCCCCAGTGGAGGGGGCTGACTGCCCTGGCTAGCGCAACGCAGCCATAGTCGGGTGAGCCGTCGCACTGACAGACGCAGCCACAGAGCTCGAGACCAAAGAAGCGGTGGTTGTTGGTCTCGATGTCGTCGTCGTCGTCGTCGTCGGCGTCGGCGCCGTCGTCGTCGTCGTCGGCGTCGGCGTCGTCGTCGTCGTCATCGTCGTCGTCGTCGTCGTCGGCGTCGGCGTCGGCGTCGTCATCGTCGGCGTCGTCGTCGTCGGCGTCGTCCTCGTCGTCGCCGTCGTCGTCGTCGTTGTCGTTGTTGTCGTTGTTGTTGTTGTTGTTGTTGGCCGATGTTGGCCAGATTTGGGCGCGTTGTTGTTGTTGTTGTTGTCGTTGTTGTTGGTGTTGGTGTTGGTGTTGGTGTTGGTGTTGTTGTTGTTGTCGTGATCGTCGTTGTTTTTGTCTTCTTGTTGTTGTGCTTGTTGTTGTTGTTGTTGTTGGTGGTGGTGGTGGTGGTGTCGTTGCTGTTGTTGTTGTCGTTGTTGTTGTTGTTGTTGTTGTTGTTGTTGTTGTTGTGGTTGTTGTTGTTCTTGTTGTTGTTCTTGTTGTTCTTGTTGTTGTTGTTGGTGTTGTTGTTGTTATTGTTGGCCCGAAGTTGTTGTTGTGGTTGTGGGTGCTGTTGTTATGGTTGTTGTTGTGGTTGTGGTTGTTGTTGTTCTTGTTGTTGGTGCTATTGTCGTTGCCGCCCTGGTTGGTTGTCGTTGTTGTGGCTGTTGTTGTTGTTGTTGTTGTCGTTGTTGTTGAGGTTGGTGTTGACGGTGTTGTTGTTGTTGTTGTTGTTGTGGTTGTTGTTGTTCTCGTTGTTGTTGTTGAAGTGGTGGTCGTTGTCGTCCTGGTTTTTCTTGTGGTCGTTGTTGTTGTTGTTGTGGTTGTTGTTGAGGTTGGTGTTGATGTTGTTGATGTTGTTGTTGTTGTTGTTGTTGTTGTTGTTGTCGTCGTCGTCGTCGATGATGATGTTGTTGGTGATGTTGTTGTTGATGTTGTTGTTGATGTTGTTGTTGATGTTGTTGACGTCGTTGATGTTGTCGATGTGGTTGATGTGGTTGATGTTGTTGTCTTTTGCATCAAGTTGGAGCTAAGTTGGGCCATCTTGGAGCTATGTTGAGCCGTCTTGGGGTCATGTTGGGCGATCTTGGGGCCATGTTGGGCCTATGTTGGGCCATCTTGGGGCCATGTTGGGCCCATGTTGGGCCATCTTGGGGCCATCGTGGGCCTATGTTGGGCCGTCTTGGGCCATCTTGGAGCCATGTTGGGCCGATGTTGGGCCATCTTGGGGCCATCTTGGGCCTATGTTGGCCCTATGTTGGCGCAGGCTTGCCCCTATCTTAGCCTTATGTTGACCCATGTAGCCCACATCTTGGCCGATGTTGGCCCTATGTTGGCACCAAGGCCGTCAAGATGTCCAGTTTTCCGTTCCGGACCCCGTCCGAAGACCCAAAACCATGAAAAACCCATGGTTTTTTAACGTCGCCAAGATGAAACCTGGAGACGGCGAAGGCCACAAAACCCTGTAAAACGATGTTTTTTGAACACCACACGCAGAAGACACTGTAAATTACAGGTATAATCGTGGACCGGGCGTGAGCCGGGCGTGAACCGGGCGTGAACCGGAATTGACACGAGGTGGTCGGCGGCAGGGGCGGCAGCCGTATATAACCTTCGGTTACCACCGAAGGCCTCCGGCAATGCCACGGGCTGCGGCCCCGGGGCCGGCGCCCGGATTTAAGCGCTTACGCGCGACAGCCGGCCAGGGGCCCATGTTGAGGTGATATGGGTAGCTGGGAGCAGGATCTTAAGGCTATGTTGCCCCATCTTGGGGCTATGTTGGTCCATCTTGGGGCTATGTTGGCCCACCTTGGTGCTATGTTGGCCCGTCTTGGGGCCTAGGTTGGCCGATCATAAGGCCTATGTTGACCCATGTTGAGCCAAAAGATCCGAAAAATGGGAACAGCAAAAAAACACTGTAAAACGCAGGATATGTTGATGGTCGGCGGCCCATCTTGGGGCTATGTTGGCCCATCTTGGGGGCTATGTTGCCCCATCTTGAGGCTATGTGGGCCCATCTTGGAGCTATGTTGGCCCATCTTGGGGGTATGCTAGCCCATCTTGGGGGCTATGTTGGCCGATCTTGAGGCTATGTTGGCCCATCTTGAGGCCTATGTTGGCCCATGTTGACCCATCTTGAGCCACATGTGCGATGTTAGTGCAAAAACATGTTGAATGTCACAGGGCCAAAAAAGACTGTAAATTACAGGGGTTTCTGTCGACACGCGCACCCTACCGGAGGTCGGCGGCAGGGGCCCAACTATGTTGACCCATCTGTTGGCCTATGTTGACCTATCTTGCGAGCAATGTGGGCCCAGCTTGGAGCTATGTTGACCCAGCTTGGGGCTATGTTGGCCTATCTTGAAGGCTATGTGGGCCGATCTTGAGGCCTATGTCGGCCGATCTTGAGGCCTATGTTGGCCCATGTTGACCCGCGTGGAGCCAAAAGATCCGAAAAATGGGAACAGCAAAAAAACACTGTAAAACGCAGGATACTTTGAGGGTCGGCGGCCGATCTTGGGGCTATGTTGGCCCATCTTGGGGCTATGTTGGCCCATCTTGAGGGCAATGTGGGCCCATCTTGGGGC